CAACTATGGAAGGACAGTTTTGTTTTTTTGTTCTAGTTTTGTTTGTGTAATGCAAATCCAGAATCTATAATCTATCTATTATCATCACTTTGGTTTAAACGAACAAATCCTCTAGTTTCAGGAATAGTGTTGAAATCCCCGTTTCTTACTTTGATCTCTCATGGAAAATGGTGCCTTGTCCAATTAGTATTAAGCGGCTTGCTTTTAAATAACAAGAAGAGAATGGTGCGGCCAAATCTATTTTCTTTAGTAATCTACTGTGGTAAAATAATGCAAAGCAAATGTGTATTAGAGAATTCGTCTTAACTTCTTCAAAATCGATTCAATGCAAATTCCAATTTTCTTTTTGTCTATCATTTGAAGTTTTGAACAATTATCCTTACAAGAAAACTTATCGGATATAGCCCAAGTTAATGTTTTTAACTCCGAATGACGCAGTGAAATACTCTTTCTTGAAAATATATCCAACTTCGTCTAGATGTTAGTGTTCCAAGAACGATCCACTTTATACCTCGATTTTGTTTGTGTTGCTAAACACATCTTTTTTTCTTAGATGAGTTTCTTCCCAAACATATTAAAAGGCCGTATAAAAGGCCCATCAGAAAAAGTTTAAAGGGCCTATCCGAAGATATTTGAAAGCCTCTCTATGGGGCAAAGGGTTTACACTTAACGACGGTGGGCGCCTGGGCGGAGTAAACCCTAAACCCTAGCTACTCCTCCTCAATTGCTATTTCTCCGTCTCTGCGTGTTGAGGACCGAAACGAAAACCTAGCAAAATCTCACCATGGGTAAGGTCAAAGGAAAGCATCGTTTGGATAAGTACTATCGTCTCGCTAAGGAACGTGGATTCCGTTCTCGAGCTTCCTACAAGCTTCTTCAGCTCGACGCCAAGTACTCTCTTCTCCACTCTTCTCATGCCGTCCTCGATCTCTGCGCCGCCCCTGGTGGTTGGATGCAAGTCGCAGTCGAGAAAGTTCCCGTCGGCAGCCTTGTTCTCGGTATCGATCTTGTCCCGATTCTCCCCGTGCGTGGCTGTGTTACTATGACGCAAGATATCACAAGGACTGAGTGTAAATCGAAGATCAAGCAAGTGATGGAGCAGCATGGTGTTAGTGCTTTTAATTTGGTTTTGCACGATGGGTCTCCAAATGTTGGTGGTGCTTGGGCACAAGAAGCTATGAGCCAGAACGCTTTGGTTATTGATTCTGTTAGATTAGCCACTGAGTTCTTAGCTCGTAACGGGAATTTAATCACCAAGGTCTGCTTCTGAAATTAACTTACTTTCGGATTGTTATATTGAATTTGTTCTTTTGGATTGATCTTCTGCCATTTCTGAAGTATTGGTTTTATGTGTTTTCTGCTATTAGGTTTTCAGGTCTCGAGATTACAACGCTGTGCTCTACTGTCTTGGGAGGGTACTGTTTGTTTACAACTCTTGATTTTTTTTTTTTTCCATGTGGATGAGTGTTTCCCGGTTCTTCTTCTTATTGGTATTTTTTTTGGTGCAGCTGTTTGAGAAGGTTGAAGTGTTTAAGCCGCCGGCTAGTCGTTCAGCATCTGCGGAAACATATCTTGTGGGTTTGAAATACCTAGCCCCTGCCAAGATTGATCCCCGTCTTCTTGATTATAGACATCTCTTTAAGGAGGCAGCAGAACCCACGAGAAAGGTAATCACTGTGACTTATTTGGTGTTTGGAGTGTTTTTTGCAACTCTCCCATTTTTCATAAATTTTGTGTGTAATACTACTTGTGTTTGTAGGTGGTGGATGTGCTTGGAGGATCAAAACAGAAGAGAAACCGTGATGGGTAGGAAAAATCTGCTATCTATTTTTCTTCGTTATGTATGAACTTCTTTTTATAACTGAGTGTTATATACAGGTATGAAGATGGAGAGTCTATTTTGAGAAGAGTTGCATCTGCTGCTGATTTCATCTGGTCTGAAAATCCTCTCGAGGTTCTTGGCACGGTTACTTCCATATCCTTTGATGATCAAGCCTCTCTACCTTTGAAGGAACACGATTTGACGACAGAGGAGGTACTGTTTCTAATTTCGATACCTTTGCTAATCAGGTATTTGTGACCTCTACGCGATGGTAATTTTATCTATTTCTGTTGGCAGATTAAAATTCTATGCGATGATCTTCCTGTATTGGGGAAGAATGACTTCAAGCATATCCTAAAGTAAGAACCGCATCACTTACTCCTTCATGGACCTTTTTTATCTTTTATGTTTCAGCTATTGTAGAATTATTAGCTCTAAATTGGTTCCGTAAAGAACGGTTTTCCTAGCACATTAAGTTTTACCTATGCTGTTTTGAGAAAAACCTCAAGTGCTCAACCAGATAAAGCACTCTGTGAAATGGGTAAACGGGTAACCATGGATGTTAGGATTGCGTGTCGGAAACTACTGGTTTTGTTAAGACTTCAGCATTTGCTCAATGCGTCTGGAAATTGTATTAGTTGCTTAATGGACACCGAACTCCCTTGATCCTGTAGATGGCGAATGCAAATCAGGAAAGCTCTTACTCCTGAAAAAAAGGAAGTTGCTAAACCTGAGCCTGATGTGGGAAAGGAAGATGAGGAAAATGAGGATGATAAACTACTCAATGAATTGGAAGAGCTGACAAACACAGTCGACCGTAAGAAGAAACAGGCAAAGAAGATTCTTGCAAAACGAAGGGCTAAGGTTATTTTTTACCTTATGATAATAACCTATCAAGTGTTTATGTCGTCTTAGTCAGTGGCCTTGGTGATGGATCTCTTAGACCTTATACTTCCTTCACTAAATTTATTATCTTTTGCCAGGATAAGACGCGGAAGGCGACTAATCCACAGATGGATGTACTTGAAGATGGTTATGTCGACAATGAATTGTTCTCTCTTGCTGCTATCAAGGTACTTCCTTTGTGTATCCCATCTCTGTGAAATTTTGTTTTTTATGATGGCAGTCGAAGAAGCGTTTATTGCTATTTTACAGGTTGAAGAGCATACTCCTTTGACCCCATTATCAGTTTTTACAATTCAATTGTTTGAACATATCATTCTATTCCGAATGAGATTGTAAAGATTTTCGTTTATTTTTCTTTCCAGGGAAAGAAAGATCTAATGGCAGTTGACAATGACGAAGATGATGATGGCAATGCCGATGGCAGTGAGAACGAAGACCGTGGTGAGGGAGCTTCAGATGACTCCAAAGACAGTGACATAGATTCTGATGAAGAACGTCAGAAGTAAGACCGCTAACCCCATACCTTTTCGTAGATTATATAATACTGTTTCAAGAACGTCATACATTTCTCAAGTTTGGGCAGTTACTTCATCTTAATAGTCTTTTAACATTACAGGTACACTGAACAAATGGAAGAGATTTTTGATGAGGCATATGAGCGGTATATGGTGAAGAAAGAAGGAAGCGCAAAGCAAAGGAAACGGGCTAGGCAGGCCCATGCTGAAAAGCTGGAGGTACTATATCATTCCTTGCCCCAATTTCTTCGATAGTACGCAGACTTTTTGAACTAGACATTTTTTTCTTTTTGGCTTTGCAGGAAGGTGATGGAGATGAAGAAATGAAGATGGATTACGATTCAGATCTGAATGAAGAAAAAGATGAGGCAAACCCTCTTGTGGTACCATTTGATGATGGAGAGGTCCAAACAAAAGAGGAAATATCCAACCAGTGGTTCAGTCAGAATATATTTGCAGAAGCCGTGGAAGAAGGAGACTTGGGAAAAGATGACAGTGAAGACGAAACACCAGTTGAGAAAAAGAGCAAAAATCTGTCTAAACCAGACAAGTCAAAGCAGAAGGCATCAAAAGCAAGCGTATTGTCTGATCAGAGCTTGCCCAATAGCTCTAAGAAGGAAGATGATTTTGAGGTAGTCCCTGCACCAGCCACGGATTCTGACTCGGATTCATCCTCTGAGGATGATGTTCATACAAAGGCCGAGATACTGGCATGTGCCAAGAAAATGCTGAGGAAGAAGCAGAGAGAACAGATGCTTGATGATGCATATAACAAACACATGTTTGTAGATGAAGGTTTACCCAAATGGTTTGTGGATGACGAGAAGCAGCACAGACAACCAATGAAACCCATTACGAAAGAAGAAGTTAATGCAATGAAAGCACAGTTCAAAGAGATCAATGCTCGTCCAGCCAAGAAGGTGGCCGAGGCCAAGGCACGAAAGAAGCGAGCTGCTCAGAAAAGATTGGAGAAAGTGAGGAAGAAGGCAAACACAATTTCTGACACAGCAGATATATCAGACCGTTCAAAGGACAAGATGATAGACAAGCTATACAAGAAAGCAGCAGAGCCAAGAAAGCCTAGGAAAGAATTGGTTGTGTCTAAGAAAGGAGTTGGGGTTAAGGTTGGGAAAGGACAGAAGAGAGTGGATAGGAGGATGAAGAGTGATGCTAGGAAGCGTGGGGGAGGAAAGCCCGGCAGGAACGGGCAGAAGGGCAAAGCAGGCCAGAAAGGAAAAAGGCCGGCTGGGAAACCACGGGGGAAGAAACCCGGGTAAGACCTCAATGTCGAATGAGGCGAAAAGGAAGTTTTGTTCCGTATTTTAGTTTGATTTTTGGCAATTCTTGACTTCTGGATTTTGTTCTTAACTCAGATAATCTGTGTTTGTGGTGTCCTAAGTTAAAACTTAGTGGATCTATCTATCTTGTTTATGAAAGGTACCGTATTTGAATACCTTTGTTGTTGAGTTCGACGATGTTCTTATGGGTAATTGAAGGTTTCTCTGTGACAATAAGAAGACTCTGAATTGAGAACAGTAGTGAGGTCATCTTCCAATATTGAAGATCGATGTGAAAAAAGTTTATAGTTTGAGATCTTTTGTATTTAAAAAAAAACAGAAAAAAAAATTCCCATAAAAAAAGCAATTTGAGTCAACACACTTAAATGTATTTCTCAAAATTACTTTGCCAAAGAAAAGACTGGTCAGAGCGAAAAATCAAATTTGACAGAAGGCAATTTCAATCCAAAGACTGCGAATGAAGTTTAATGGCGACTAGATCGCCTTATAAGAGACAAACGAAGCGATCAATGATTCAATCTCTTCCAGCTTCTTCTGCATCATCTCGCCGCCGATTCATTTCTCGGAAGAGGATCGCGATGATGATTCCTCTTGCTCTCTTCTCCGGCGCCGTTTTCCTATTCTTCATGCCATTCAATAGTTGGGGCCAATCATCTAATTCACTGGATCTCTCCCATAGAATCCATGAAATTGAAATAGTTGCTGAGTTTCCTCATGATCCTGACGCCTTTACTCAGGTTTATGTTTCGACTATAGTCATCTCACATTTTCGAATTTCAGCATTACTTAAATGTTTTTCTCCGGCGCAGGGTCTTCTTTATGCGGGAAACGATACACTGTTCGAATCCACTGGTCTATATGGGAAGGTGATTTATTCGCCTGGCATTGTGTCTTACTCTTTGAATTCGATTCAAGTTTCATTATCTAGTCATTATATTGCTTCTTTGAAAATTACAATCGGATGCTTGAGTTTGATTCATTCTGCATTTTTTCCCATTCTTACAGTCGTCAGTGAGGAAAGTGGATCTACGAACCGGAAAGGTATGGTTTCATCTTGTGGTTTGATGGTTTAAACATGTTTTGGACACCCGGGACTATATATCAAACATGTTAGTGAATCGTCAAGAGGTTTCTGTGTAATTGAAAAGTGGGAAATGACAGCTAAATTGCGAATGATCGATAATGCAATTATAGGAGTTCATGCAGATAAGCCTTATTTGGATTGGTGGATTTAGATTTTTGATACAAAATTTGTTTTGTTTCTCCGCCTTGCCTAGGTTGAAGTTATTGAAAAAATGGGTAATTCTTACTTTGGAGAGGGTTTAACACTCCTTGGAGAAAGGTGAGCCTTATCCTTCATTAAGCTAGTTTTTAATTCAAAATAAACTCTTACGAGTATCTTCTGCTTGTTTGATTGTAATGCTGTTTTCTAAAATCTTGTTGTGTTACATGGATATATTTCCTAGCTGACAATAATTGAATGGTTAGAATACTGTTCTGACGCACCGATTCCTTATATGTTGTAGGCTCTTTCAAGTTGCATGGTTGACGAATACGGGTTTCACATACGACATTCGCGACTTAAGCAAAGTGTGTAGTGGTCTTATCCTTCTCATACTCTTTTTGTTTGCATAGTTTGGTTTCTCAGCTATTAATCATCAGCAAGTCGTCTAAGTCAACCTGCTTTGCTGCTTGCTAGAATTTATTAGACATAATATTCAGCTTAATCTGTTTCATGAAACTAGAGGAAAGATCTTTGTAATAGGCTAGAGATATGGATCTAGTGACTGAGTTTCTTATTTGTTTCTTCATTTGTTGTAGTTAAGTTACCCTGTGTCCATTCCATTCCCATTTTATGATGGACTAGTCTCACCATAGTCTGTTATGTTAAGCAGTTGATGTCACTGTAGGTAAAACCATTTAAACATCATATGAAAGATGGATGGGGACTGGCTACCGATGGAGAAGTGTTGTTTGGAAGTGATGGCACTTCTACACTATACCGGATGGACCCTCGAACAATGAAAGGTGTCTTACTTGAACTGCTTTAAGTTATGTGCTTTGTTCTTGTGCCCATGAGCCACTTACATACGTATTTTCTACAGAGTAGATTTAACATTTTATGGTGTCTCTTCTCTGTAGTTACTAATAAGCACACAGTCAGATATAATGGCTATGAGGTACGTTACCTCAATGAGCTCGAGTACATAAACAAAGAAGTATGGGCAAACGTGTGGCAGGTATTCCAACTGTTTCTGATATTTGCATCTGTTCATTGTTACATCTGAAAGAAATATTGTTACACAGAGTAATAAATTCTACTCTTACTAAAAAAAAGTTCGGGATAGCCTGCGAAATTTCAATCCGTGAAACCCAAACAGATGCATTAAGATTCATTCTTTCTCTCTTTGAAATATCAGAAACAAGATTTCGTTGGATCGCTGTTTTGCTCAGATCAATCACAGAAATGAATTTCGTAGTTGGAGATGTTGTAATGACAAGACTTGTATGGTTTATCATTTTGGCTGATGTGTATCTTTCTTTTGCAGTCTGATTGTATTGCTAGAATTTCACCCAAGGACGGATCGCTGCTTGGATGGATACTGCTACCAAAATTAAGGTTATTGTTTCTTGTAACATGTCTTTGTTTAGGATAAACACACTGGGTTATACCATTGATCCTCTTCCTTTCTGATATCCTTTCGCAGACAAGGATTGCTGAAATCTGGACATGGGGTGAGTTGAAATCTGAAGAGTTTGTCTTTCTTAATAAGTCATCTTCAAAACTCTCTTTTTCTCTTACTTTTAAATCTTGTCTGCACTGTAGGGTATTGATGTCTTGAATGGCATAGCATGGGACAGCGACAAGCAACGCCTCTTTGGTAATAAATCTTGTTCTCAGCCTATCTGAGCTTGATCACTTGACCTCGCCTCCTAGTATTAACTTTTTAAGCTGGATCATTTTGTTTTGCAGTAACCGGGAAACTGTGGCCGAAGCTGTACCAAATCAAGCTAAAACAAGCATCAGCAAAGAGCGGAAAATATATGGAGCAACAATGCTTGGTATGAAAAAATTAAGCATGGTAATGGTTAGAAAGGTTAAAAAGGCTAATGTACCATAAATTCTTAACATTAGCATTAAGCGAACTTCAATGATTGAAGATGAGAATCAAAACCTCGTACCTTGAAAATCCAAAATCGCGGCAAAAGGAAATTACAATTCCCCTTAGTTAACAAAAGTCTCTCCCAATATCAAGGACTTCTGAGATTGGAACGGTACGTGAATAGCTTGAAACGAAATCGAAATCGAAAATCGATGACGTCTCTGTATTTCGCTATTGGCCACCAAGCAAAGTGTCAGACATCATACACCATGAACAAGTTATCCAAAAGAGAGGTGTTGATGTTTCTTGACCAGTGCAGATGGTTCTTAGGATTAAGCAGAAAATTTGATTAGATGAGCTGTGCCATGCCAACCATTTTGGCGCTGAAGGCAACAGAGCAATTCTTTCTTCCTGTCTATGCTTCTATGGCGGACATGGAATGCAATGGAAAATCCATAAAAAAAAAAAGAACAAGAAATTTGGTATTTTGTTGCTTTTGATTTTTTGATGTGTTGAAACCTAAATGCAACCAGTGTAATTGGCAGTCGCTGTCAAACATAAAAGGGTGAACTATCTTTTTGAGTATTATATAATGTGAAGAATCCTGTAAACGCTCTGTTCTCAAGCTCTGTAGTGTAGTAATGTTGAGAAGTGTCAATTTCTATTTGATATATTCTTTGTTACTGATGAAGTGATGATGATGATGTGTGTGTGTGTTAATCCACGAGTTTCATATGAACAGAGTTGGTTATGTGGAATTTGCAGACTATTTTTTGGCAGATGACACAAGTTATTAATAGAGTTTGTATGGTTGAGAGCTCTAATGAGAATGGAAGTGAAAAAGAAAAAAAAGAGAGCAAAGTTCCTAATCGATCACCCAATAGCGAAATCGATTAGGAACTTTTAGGTTTTATAACAATGGAATCATGACTTATAATTGTTGTCTTAAATGTTTATATAGACAACGATTATAACCTAAAAGTTCCTAATCATGGGATTTAAAACCTAAAAGTTCCTAATCATGGGATTTAAAACCTAAAAGTTCGATTATACATACGAGCACAGATAAATCGACAAACAAATTCTTATAGCTCTTTTAATATAGAAGAAAAATCAAAAGTAATAGTGTTGTTCATTAACAGACAGATGTGATGGACCAGAGAGACCTAGTTATGCAATCAGCTCATAACTCATATACAAAAACTTGAGAACTCGCTTAAATGTAGACCGTAGTGAAGACATGACAATTGTATACCAGAATCTCTAATTTATTAAAATCATGGTAACTCCCTGCACAATAAGACCGACTTTGAACAAAAAAAAACACACATTTAAAGATCACTAAGAAAAGGATGATGATTCGGAGGTCCAATACCCAATTGGCGTCAAATTCAACTGCTCGATACTAAATATATCTTTAGAAAGTAGCGATCAACTTCTTGAAACACAGATGAAAGTCTCATAAAACAAACTTAATTTCAGACCACAAAAAGAGTTCGCACAACAATAATACGGTTTTCAAGATACTTAACTTCTTAAACAAAAAATAAGTCTGATAAAACATTCTTAATTTAGGACCAACAAACAAGTTCCAAAACTAGCAGATACTTGCCAAGATTTCAGCTCTTGTAATTTAGTTGATAGATAAACGTGGGATACAGAAGTCAACAAGCATTCCCTCGATCTTATCCACGGCAACTACTATCACATCTCTAAATCCAACATAGCTTGTTTCCATTACCTGACGGACCATCGTGAATTCCCTACCACACACACAAAAAAAAGATTGAACATTATTAGAACAAAACTTTGTCATTACTCTCTGAAAATTTTGAAATTTAGCTAACAACACTTTACATCTCCAAGACGATCAACTAGTATAAACTAGTATTCCTGTTAGTAAAGGGTATGTAACTCACTCATCAGGCATTCTGCAATTTAGTTTTCTTCTTGATCGGTGATCTGGAAGACTCTGATCCAGAAGACTCTGATCCAGAAGACTCTTCGCCAAAACCTTCAAGTCCCTGCAATATTAAAAAGGTTCAGTCCAAATAACAGACCAATAATTTGTTGTGAAGCATTATAAAACTTATTCATTCATACCTCAAGTGCTTTATCAAAAGCATCTAGCTCATTGATCCAGTGAGTTTCTGCCGTGTGGAGTGTATAGTACCCCAGTCTTTTATTCACGTCCCCTAATTCTGCCATTAACTCATCTACTTTTGAAGGATCTCTAATCATCGACATCAGATCCTCTGTTAGGTAGTCATAGCTTGGAAAGCGATCGTTAATTGTCTTGCCGTATTTTTTAAAACCTTTCTCTTGCAAGACCGCATCAAGATTGAGAGCGATGTTTATTTCTCCATTGAGAACTCTTTGGAAAATTGCTACTTTACACTCTAACTTATCCCGCTCAAAAGCCAAAATTTCCACCATATGTTGCTGTATATATTCAGGAGTAAGATTAGTTACTTAAACAAGACCATTGCCTTAATTACTAAAACAAGACCCATAGTTTCAGATTTACATACCTTCCTTCGACGATACATTTTTAGCCTCACCTCAAGGAACTCTTCAAGGACTGAGAAAGTGATAGTAAGATTAATTAATCTTTTATAGAGAGGAAAAAAACAATGAGATGGGTTCTTCTTACTTTTGTCGGGAGATTCATATTTGGTGAGGACATTAAACTTATTCAGCAAATGCATGTTGTTGGTTCTTATGGTCTTGGATAGTCTCAAAAGTTTTCTTGGATTCTTTTCGTTCAGAAAATGCTTCATCTGCTCTTTAGATAAAGACAACTTTATGTCAATTGACATATTATCACTGTCATTCTTGTAGCCCTGAAAAAAAGAAACGCATGAATCAAAAATAAGCATACAGAAATTCTATGATAGTTTATGATTAAAAAGCACTGATTCTACCTCGATAACACTGTCTTTCTTCAATCTCTCCAAAACCTTTAAGTAATTCCTTGTCCACACGTGGACAGGCAACTCGGTGATGTGAATACTACTATCTTTGTGATTCACCTCATACATACCCGTGGTTCTATACTCATTAGATGAAACTTGTTTGATATCTCCCTTGAAGTTTCTATACCATGGGAGCATCGGAGTTGATGTTTCATGATGAAGAAGCCGCTTAATATTAGCACTGATTACTCTTGGATCATAAGAGGGGATGAAACTATTCCATCCCATTCCAACACTTTGTGACCCATTGACAAGAACCATTGGCATGATAGGCAGAAACCTAAAAAACGTGTATATAACATAATATCAAGTTAATAGACTTTTAAGAAAATGAAAAAATCTACATTTCATTGAGACATGGGAATAAACTTACCATTTTGGATGTCTCTTTTTCCCGAATACATTAGGGTATTCCAGAATGTCATCATCATCCTTGTGAATAAGTAATCTTGTTACAGAAGAGAGCGTTGTGTGAATATATCTTGCATCCACGTCATGTTTACCACCCTAGTATCACAGAGAATAGAGCATTGATAAGAACAGTTGCTCTAAACATGTTATGTACCAGCATTTACAAATGACAACAGTTACTAATACGTACCGAAGCTCTCGAACCAAATTGACCAATAGGCTCGAGCATGTTCACATTGTTGCTGCCAACAAAAGTTTGGGCCATACGGATGATTGTTCTTGAAAGACTCCGCTCGCAGTGATGATGAGCCGCATGCTCTGATACATAAGAAGCAAGTTGTGTAACCTTGATTTTTTCTTCAAAGTTAACATGGGCTTCTTTTTCTCTCTTGAACAATGAAAAGACAGTCTTTCTTTGCGCAAGTCTAAACCCATCAATAACGGAGGGAATTGATCTTTCGAGAATCGCTTGGGCGGCGAATATCAACTCCTCATTGATGAAGCTACCATACGACATCCGCCGATTGAGCCGACCAATATAAACTTTTGGCTGAACAAATAAATGAGTTTAGAAAACCAAATAGAATAAACAATTATGCAAATATATTTAACTATTCTCCATACCATTTCCTCGAGCCATTTTTTTTTGGCGGTAATGTCTGTCTTAAATGCGACATCAATTGATCTTCCATCGTTGTCACCCGCCCAAAAAAACTCCTTAGTATGATTATCAATATCAGCAAGATATTCACAAGCCTCTTCATAAGTACTTGTGCCCAATCCCTGAAAAAAACAGAAGAAAAACTAAGTTAGCTAAGAACAAGAACATTTTATCTAATTAAAAGCATTCTCTAAATAAAATTACAAGGTAAAACAAACCTTATAATAATCAATGGACCACTTATCATGCTCTATTGTTTTGCTCCAGTTGTTGTATGCAGGATTTGAATATATTCGTTCAATACGGTGGGTCTCATGTTGTGTAGCCTATGGTAAGAGAAATTCTTAATATCGATATTTGTATTATTACGAAAAACACTAAAATTTTAAAGATAATGCATATAAACTTACCTTAACAAGGGGTGTGATAAACTCTACAATGAATGATGGGGAAAGCTCCAATAAACTTGGCCAAAAAGTGTGGAACAAATTTATGATCAGACCTTTTATATGAGTACCATCGTGATCCTGAACAATAAAGAATTATTAGTCACTTATAGGTTTCAATTGCTAATCATTAAAAAATAAAAACAAATAAAATTAAGAGAACAATAAAAAACGAAACATAACAATTTTTGAGAAATAAAAATGCAGAAAAAGAATAAAATATACCATTATAATGAATGGTAACCAAAACTTGTTAATTAAATATTAATTTTACATTTAATTTTAAACTAAAATTTGTGAATTAAATATATATATATATATATTTCATGTTAAATTTTAGTTATTAATATTAAAATACAACAAACTAGTAAGAGTAATTTAAAATATATTTTGTTTCTACAATATAAACATCTTTTCAATTTATATAACAATTCATATAATTTTCAAATAAATTCTTAAGATTAATTTAAGATGAAATTTCTGTCAAAAATATAGAATAATGAATGTACTAAAAAACCTAACCTGATCTGTCATTATCATTAGTCTCCCGTACCGTAGACTCTTGGTGTTTTTGTACTTCTTATAACACTTCTTCAAACCAATGATTTCCATGATGTCCCTAATCACTTTATTCTTAGTAATCCTAGCTTCGCTAGCTTTTTTCACGTTGATTAATTTACCGCGAAGTGGATACACGCCGTAGAGATTACGGTTAAGAGCAGACATCCCCACCATCTTAACAAAATAGATATTAAGAGTGTTAAAGGTAAAAATAAAGAAGTAATTGAAATTATCTTTAGATCAAAACCACTTACCGGTAAAGCTTTCGCTGAGTCCCCTTCAGTCAATATTAGGGTGCATTTTTGAGAGAGATCTCCTCCAGCGTGGTTCGCATCAACTAAGTTTTCAATAGTAAGCCTCTGTTTGAAAGTTGCCAATGAAAGCAATTTCTCCACTACAGCAGATTTTGCCACTATTGAAAAGATAAAATAAACGATTTTATCAACTCTTCTAGCAACCAGTAACATGAGTTAAATCAAAAAGATGGCAAACCATACCTTTCTTCAGAAACACTTCTGAGAGTTCGCCTTTAGATATGAAACTGCTCTGTTCTGAAGTCAGCTTTTCTCTTTTTGGAAAATCAAAAGTAGGATTGTCAATCCGTGCATTGACAAAGACCCAAAGATGGCTCATCAGAACATGGGTCTTAAGATGAGTGTTCTTGTTTTTTCTTTTGGCAATTTCCACAATGTGGTTTGTGAGTTGGCTTGTCACATAATCAACATGGGTACCACCATTTATTGTTGCTACGGAGTTGACGA